ACATTTTTTTTTTTTAAAAAATAATTTCAAATTTCAAAAAAAAAAAAAAAAAAAAAAAGAGAAAAAAATGCAAGCGACAGGAACAAACGCAGAAATTAGAGCAAACGCCGATGGAAGTGAAGTTAGAAAACTTCAACCTAACGTTTACACACGATATTACGATTTGTTAAGTCGCGTTAATAATTTTAGTATTATTGAATCCACTTTACGAGGTTGATATTTTATTATTATTTTTTTTTTTTAAAAAAAAAAGAAAATTAAATTTGAATATTTCTTATTAAATTTCAATTATTCTTCTCTTAAAAGAGGGTGAACAATTTGCCAATGCGTTTTTCGATACCAATAAAAAAATAGAGATTGCTAAAGCTTTAGATGAATTTGGTGTTGAATATATTGAACTTACATCACCTGCCGCTTCAGAACAATCAAGACTAGATTGTGAAGCGATATGTAAATTAGGACTCAAAGCAAAAATTTTAACTCATATAAGATGTCATATGGATGATGCAAAAATCGCTGTCGAAACTGGTATTTTTTTTATTGATAATATATACTTTATCCTTTATTACGTCATTGTTATATATTTACTATTTATCATGCACGAATAGGTGTTGATGGTGTTGATGTCGTAATAGGAACTTCTTCATACCTTCGTGAATTTTCTCATGGCAAAGATATGGACTATATTGCTAAAAAAGCTACTGAAGTCATAAATTTTGTTAAATCCAAGGGAATTGAAGTCAGATTCTCATCTGAAGATTCATTTAGAAGTGATTTAGTTGATTTATTATCCATTTATCGTACAGTAGACAAACTTGGTGTTAATCGAGTTGGTATTGCTGATACGGTTGGTTGTGCAAATCCACGTCAAGTTTATGAATTAGTTAGAACTTTACGTGGCGTTGTTTCTTGTGATATTGAGTGTCATTTTCATAACGACACTGGTTGCGCCATAGCTAATGCTTATGCTGGTATGTGATTTTATTCATCATTTGGTTATTAATTTTTATATTATCAATTTTTATTAACATGAAACGTTTATGAATTCAGCTCTTGAAGCTGGTGCGACTCATATTGACACCTCCATTTTGGGTATTGGTGAACGTAATGGAATAACTCCACTTGGAGGATTAATCGCACGTATGTACACTGCGGACAAGGACTATATCAAGTCGAAGTATAAACTCCACATGCTTCGTGACATTGAAAATTTGGTGGCTGATTCTGTCGATGTTCAAGTTCCTTTCAACAATTACATCACTGGTTATTGCGCATTTACACATAAAGCTGGTATTCACGCAAAGGCAATTTTGAACAACCCAAGTACTTATGAAATTTTGAAGCCAGAAGATTTTGGGTAAGTAAATGCATTCATTAACTTTAATTTCCGAAAATTTTTTTTTTTAATTTTTTTTTTTTTTTGATTTATTTTCTTAGTATGACTCGATACGTAAACATTTGCCATCGTTTAACTGGATGGAATGCCGTCAAAAATCGTGTTGAACAGCTGGGACTTAGTCTTACCGATGACCAAGTCAAGACAATTACTGCTAAAATTAAGGAATTGTCGGATATTCGACCACTAAAAATGGAGGATGTTGATAATTTATTAAGGGATTATCATTCTGCTATTGAATCTGGTGATGAATTACTGGTTAAAAATGTTTTGTCGATTGCCTCTGCTGTCTCAAGTTAGTTTTTTCTTTTTTTTTTTTTGGAGCGTAGAGAAGCATAATTTACGGATTCTTGACGGTTTAAATTACTTCAAATCATTTAAATTTTTGGACTAAAAATTATTAAACTAGTTTAAGATTCGTTTGGCATAACTAATTTGTTGTCTTAAGGAATTTTTTTTTTTTTTTTTTTTTTTTGGTTTTAAAAAATTTGAGCGGATAGTATCCGTGTAGGGTTTTTATCAAAAATATATAGTAATTTACCCGGGATACTTAATGTAGTCAATGATTTTTTCTACTCTGTTTATAGAATAGATAACATTTCGATACAATATAATTAATAATTAAATTTAAGGTTGACGATAATATTTATACAGAATATCTTTCTATATACCTTCCAATTAACATATTCTGTGTTCTATATAATATTCTATTAGAAAAAAATTTTTTTATAAAAAAAGTTATCATACTGCCTTTTAAAATAACTAACCATATAAATTTTTAGTATTTGAAAAATGATTGGTGTTTATTGTACGTGGAAGTGTATACGTATATATTGCTAAGCTGCCAGTATTTAGCATTTAAATTCAGGATTTGGATGGCTTTTTCAAAAAATGGGAAATTTTTACATATAATGTTTTGAAAAGCTGGGTGCTGAGTCACTTTTTTAAAATTTTATAGAACCAAAAAATTAATCTATATATGCCAGGGGTCATTATGGTAAGTGATTTTAATATTTAGCTTTTAATAAAAGTTAGAGGTAATTACGGTTCTAATAGCGATTGAACCACTAAAATCGGACAGTAGTGTCTTTGTACAGTAGCTATATAAAAAAAAAATTTATATCGAAAGGCTACGTTGTATATTAATTTTGCTTATTATAATTTTAAACCCCGGTACTTAAAAAAGGCTTAAAAAAATCTTAACCGGATCAGCAATTATTAGCATATCAGATATCATTCAGAAAATCAAATATATACGTATATTCTAAAAGTTTGATATGAATTAACTTTTTTGATAAATTTTTATTTTTTTTTTGTCTTACAAAATATTGAAAGTCGGGTTTTAAAATTTGGCTCGGAACCAAACCAGGTTTAACTTAGGTTTAAAACTTATTTTATGAGAACCTAGTTTTTAGATTTTTAACTTGGAATCTAAAGGTTTAAAACCTAAACCAAACCTAAACTAATTTTATCATCCCTAATTAGAATGCTGCCATTACTCTCATATCTTCAATTTTCTTTTGAATCTCAGCAGGAGTACGGTCTAACTCCTCAGCAATCATTTTCTTTTTATCCATTGGTAATAAATTGTATTGTTCACACAAATCACCATCAACCATACTTTTCACAGGAGCATAAAAACTGCGATATTGAAGGTGATCACGTCCAGCTAAAGGTGATGCTTCGTTTCTCATGTGCATTTCAAGGGTCTGGAAAAATTCTATATCCTCCCTTGTCAGAAATGGAACAAATACTCCAATACTACCCATTACGCCAGTATATGTTAGAATTTCACGCCCGCCAGCAACAAGTGTTGTTCGATGAAGGGATGTGATAATGTCCCCTACATGATAATGTACAATCATAGATACCTGTGTAGCATTTAATATGAACAATTAGCAATTTATTATGTATATAATCATTGGTGTTTATACATAAAGAAAAATACCTTATGTGGAGCGCCCATCAAATATCCTTTTTCATACATTATTTTATTTCCAGTAGGATCTTCATCTACTTCTTCACTTGTTTCTGCTGGTAGCCGATCAACAAAGAAATCTCCAAATTTATCTCCACCAGCAAGTGTATCATAATCTATCATTGTTGTGGTTGTTATCCACCTCGGTGTAGTATCATCAGCGAAAATAATGATACGATTATCGTGTGGCCTGTATGATGCATAATGAACTGATTCTTGCATATCGCAGACAATAATGCGATTTCCTTGCGTATGTAAATTAACAATGCAATTTGGAATCGCCTGCGAGTCATGTATATATTAATTACAAGGCATAATGGTTAAAATTCTATAAGGAAAACAACAAACCTTTGACTCGCACTTCCGTAACAATTTTCTTTTACCCATATCGTATATTCTCAGTGCTTTTCCAACACCAGCAATAAGTCTCCCTTGGAATCCTAGTAGTGCTAAAGGGATATCATCGCATTGTGTCTACATAAACAAATGCGAATAAAAAGCTGGTTAGTTAAATTCACCATATACAGTCAACCCTCAAAACTGAATTTATCTTAAAATTTTAAATTTAGTGACTAGGTTTAGACACTACCGTATGTAGCATTGCTTATAGTACCAGGGGTCTTATTCAAGAATTCCATTTTGAAAATTGAATAGTACCGGGTACTATTCACGAATCCAGCGATTTCATTTGTGGAGAAGGGGTACTTTATGTGGTAGGATACTATTTTCGGGGATACTATAAGCAGTGCTATACGGTAAGTACACTTTTTAAACTGAATCTTTTTTCATTTTCTTAATAAGTTCTGAGGGTTCAGTATAGAGTGTAGACATACAGTATATAAATTATATAGGATTTACCTTATGTACAAGTTTTAAAGAGTTTCCTTCATCTATGAATTGGTATACATGCAAATATCCTGCTGAACATGTGCGTGGTGCCAAATTTGCATCCTTTGCGGTACCAACAACAAGGAATAATTCATTATTTTGTCCATGAAAGTTTACTGTAGCAATACTTTTATATAAAAAATCTATTAGCATACTCGAATATAAAAGTAAAACACACATAAATATATACACCTAAATGCTGCCTCATTTTCTTCAAGTTCGACTAATGACATTGTTTCACCTTGGAATGGGTTTAGAACACGAATGCATGACGCCCATTTTCCATGCTCCGCCTTAGGTAAACCAAACGTTTCCGGAGGTAATTCCAATAATTTAGGATCATATTCAAATCCATTTTTTACTTTAGCTTCCAATGCCTTTTCCTTCTCCGCTGGAGAAAATGTATTATGTTCACTCTCAATTATAACAAAATTTCTCGAAATTGGATGAAGGATAAAGTGACGTGGAGTATATTTAAGTTGTATTGTTGCTTGATTAAATACTGTCCCTAGCTTTTCCACAGCAAATATTCTCAAAGTGTTGGCAGAAATTGCCACAATACCTTCCGGAACTTGTGGTGAAGTGAAGTTGGATCCATATTCCAGCATATCATATGAAAGTGGCGTAAGATGTAATCGGGATTGAAAAGTATAACTCAGCCAGGGTCGACTTGACAGCGCTAAAACTGCAGGAGATCCCTGAATTTTGACTTGGAAAAGTTTAACTGGTCGAGCACCGAGAAATCTGCAATTAATCAAATAGTTATGAGCTTTTACCCATTTGCACTCGCAATATAAGCATAATTGAACAAATACCTTTGTCTAGTATCGGTCAATGCACCAGTTATCGTATCCAATACAGTTCGCAATAATACTCCATTTTGTAATCCTATATTAAGATAGAGCGTTCCATGTGAAGCATCAGTGCCAATATCCATCATCTCAATAATGGATAAAGATTGTGGAGGTGCGCTTAGACCCTATAGCAAAAGTTGATCAGTTATGTAGAGATTTAATAGTAACGAAAGAAATTGTGATAATTTATTCACCTGTGTACTAAGAACCTCTAAAGTATTGTCAGGATCAAGAGAAAGGATCCTAACGGCATTGTCATCACAGCCTACGGCCTTTATTATGGTAAATGATAGCCGGTTATTTCCTGAACGTTTATAACCCAACAATCATAATACTAAACATTAAATATCGAACTTACCAAAAATCTTGACCGTTGTCTCCCTTCTGGAACTTCTCCAATACTCAAACAGTGTACATTCGCTGTCATTTCTTTGCGTTCTTGATATTCATTCAACTGTCCTTGGTTATCTAACTCAAAATAAACGAGC